AAACACGGTAGGGAATAGCAGACGCCCAGACAACGGAAATAAAGAACAGAAGTTCTTTATAGTCAGTAAGAACCATGACACTGGCAGAGGCAGTAACTAAGGTGGGGGAGTGTTTGACCAGGAGAGATGGTGGTGCTGAAAGGTGGTGAGGTATTAGGGACAAAACCCTATCAGTGACATACCGCACATCACAGCGCAAAATCCAGTAGATCTCAAAAAGTGCCTCTCGTAGAGGCAGACTGGTGGGAGAAAGGCAAGTCGGCACTGGTGGAGGGAAGCAGTAGTAAAGGGATTGGTGCTGAAACACTGTGAATGACTTTGTAATTTCACAATAATTTTTTCATTCAATTTTAATTTAAAAAAATTAAAGCATGTGTATGGGTCAAAGAGAGATAGTACAGTGCATAAGGCACTTGCCTTGCATGTAGCTGACCTGGGCTTGATCCCCAGTGTGACATATGGTTCCCCTTAGCATTGCCAAGAGTAAGACCTGAGCACACTCTGGTGAAGAATAGGAGGAGAGGGAGAGGAGGAGAATGAGGAGGAGGAGGAGGAGGAGAAGGAGGAGAGGAGGAGGAGGAGGAGGAGGAAGAGGAGGGGAGGAGGAGGAGGAGGAGGAAGAGAAGAAGAAGAAGAAGAAGAAGAAGAAGAAGAAGAAGAAGAAGAAGAAGAAGAAGAAGAAGAAGAAGAAGAAGAAGGAGAAGAAGAAGAAGAAGAAGAAGAAGAAGAAGGAAGAAGAGGAGGAGGAGGAGGAGGGGAGGAGGAGGAAGAGGAGGAGGAGGAGGAAGAAGAAGAAGAAGAAGAAGAAGAAGAAGAAGAAGAAGAAGAAGAAGAAGAAGAAGAAGAAAGAAGAGGAGGAGGGGAGGAGGAGGAGGAGGAGGAGGAAGAGAAGAAGAAGAAGAAGAAGAAGAAGAAGAAGAAGAAGAAGAAGAAGAAGAAGAAGAAGAAGAAGGAAGAAGAGGAGGAGGAGGAGGAGGGGAGGAGGAGGAAGAGGAGGAGGAGGAGGAAGAAGAAGAAGAAGAAGAAGAAGAAGAAGAAGAAGAAGAAGAAGAAGAAGAAGAAGAAGAAGAAGAAGAAGAAAGAAGAGGAGGAGGGGAGGAGGAAGAAGAGGAGGAGGAGGAGGGGAGGAGGAGGAAGAGGAAGAAGAAGAAGAAGAGGAAGAAGAAGAAGAAGAAGAAGAAGAAGAAGAAGGAAGAGGAGGAAGAAGAAGAAGAAGAAGAAGAAGAAGAAGAAGAAGAAGAAGAAGAAGGAAGAGGAAGAAGAAGAAGAAGAAGAAGAAGAAGAAGAAGAAGAAGAAGAAGAAGAAGAAGAAGAAGAAGAAGAAAAGAAGGAGGAGGAGGAGGAGGAGGAGGAAAAGGAAGAGGAGGAGGAGGAAGTCATCTATGTAGACAACTTATTCAACTTAGAATCTTATATGGAATGTAACAAAACAAAACATGCGTCATTTAAACCACAGAAAGCAAAGCTCAGCTAATAACAGCCTTGGGTAACAATCTGATTCGAAGGACAAGGGCAACTCCGCCCTTGCAGAGCGTGCGGCTCTCAGAGGCAAAGCTCGCAGCAAGCTGAACCGCGTGCTGGTCTGGCACTGCCGTGGCCTCTGGACTGCAACCGGCTGAGGACCAGCTGTCAGGCCTGGTCAGTGCATGTGGAGGGTGGCCTGGAGGACCCCGATCTTGGGACACCCCATCCGTCCAGAGGAGCAAGCAGGGATCTGCAGGGTGTGCAAACAGGAGAAGGGGTGGGGCTCTGCACACCCAGCTGACTTGGCAGGGACCCCCGGCACCTCTGGGTTTGGACCAGGCTCGCAGTGGTACCACAAAGCTCCAGGCTCACACCAGGCCAAGCATTATAGGAGGCGGGTGGGAAGGGCAGTCAGCTGCTGGGGTGGTCGCAGGAAATGAAGCGTGGGCCAGAGTGGCCAGAGGCAGACAAGACAAGAAACGGCAATGATCGCTCTGTCCTCTGCGGGGAGCGCTAACCAGCCTGGGGGTGCTGGGAAGAGCAATGGAGGGTCCTGGACTCGGCCACGGACATGAGCACCATGGACACAAGCACGCATGGCTCCCTGACGGGGAGGAGACTGGCTGAGGGAAGCGAGCGGTGGGGCTCCCAGCACACCTGAGATACCCAAGAGCAAATGCCATGGAAGCTACTGGAACACAGAACAAAGCTCTGAGGGGCAGTCAGCTCTGCGGGTGGCCCCTGGAGAAGGGCAGGGTTGAGGTCCCGGGGAAGCCTGAGGAGGAAGGACAGAGTTGTCTAGAATCTCCTGGAGAATCCCCGTGTGTGGAACAGGCAGAAGCCGACACACCTGCGAGGCTGAGTCAGAGACTGGAAGGGGACAGGTGCGCACAGCTCATGAATGGCGGGAAGGGGAGGCGGGCAGGGCGGGGGCTCCGCGTGCTGGAGGCCAGGGTCTGTCCACGGCACTGCACATTCCCCTGAGCACCCTGTCAGGAGTAAACCCTGAGCACCGCCAGTGTAGCCCCCAGCTCCCGTAAAAAAGGAAGAGACAGGTGAAAGCAGAATGTGGCCGAGATGGCCAGTAAACCAGGAAAAGAAAACTGCGACCGAACAGAGCAGCATGGGGGTCACTGATGCGGGCCGGTGGGCATTTCAGCAGGGAGCTGGGCTGGGATTTCCAAGGAACAGCAGGAGCAGAGCAGGCTGGGGCTGGGAGGCGTCAGGAGCTCCAGGGAGACGAGGAAGACCAGAGATGCAGAGCTGCCATGGGGTGGGAGGGCCATCCTGCAGCAGTCGGGGTGGGGCCGAGCATCTGAGCAGGCCCCTGAGCCTTGCCAGGCCCAAAACAATGCATCTCTCTACCCTGAGGTGTGTGAAGCCCCTCCTGCCCCCTCCCTGTTCCTGGCTGCTGCGTTTCTACAACTGTGTTCAAATGAAGTTGTATGTTGTTTTATCTTTTCAAAGACCTTTTTCAGTCTGCACAGTGATCTTCACTTCGAGATGTGTATGTCAACTGTTCTTTTCCATTACTTTGAGTGTTTTTGTACTGAATGGCTACAGCATAATGCATTTACACATCCATTTACTGATGAAAAGGTGGGGGCGACCCCAAATTTATCTGTTTTGAAGGTTTAGGAACAACTTTTACAGGGACACGTGGTTTCGCTTCTCTGTAGTGGATAATTTGGTATATGCATAGTGTTTTAAATCATCAGAGTGGCCTTGAGCACGAGGTGTAGCGCACATGCCAACAGGCATTTGCCCACCGCCCAAGTCTCTGGCATCCCGTGCATTGAGGACCACCAGCAGCTCTGCTGTCTCTGACCTGTTCAGGTGCAGGGCAGTCAGGTGTGTACACGCAACCTCTGGGGAGGATGCACAAGCCAAGCAGGAAGCACGGCCTCCGCTGAGGGAGCACCCCAGCACACCTGGCCCTGAGCACCGGGCCAGCCCTGGACCTAAGAGGCACACGCGGGCAAGCCTACCGCATCTGGCCCCAACCACAGCATCCATGACAAACAGGTGCACCAAGAGGAGGGAACTTAAGAAAAAAATTAAAAAATAAATCATTGGGCCAGAGAGATTCCACATGTGAGGCCTTGCACACGGCTGGCTCAGCTTGATCCAGCACCATGTATGGCCCACTGGGCCCTGCCAAGAGTGACCCCTGAGCACAGAGCCAGGAGGATGCCCAGGGCACCGCTGGGAGTGACAAGTCCCCCAAATAATGTTAAAATTAAAGATTTTAAAAAACTACTAAACTTCTTTTGAAAAACGGAGGAATAATGTTCAGTTCCACCAGCAGTGCAGATGTGTTCCCCCGCACCCTTTCCAATGTCTGGTATGGACACTCTCTCAGTATGTTTGACAAGGGCTCAATGCTCCAGGGTGAGATTTAATTAAATTAAATTTTAAAAATAAATATAAAATGCCTGACATACATTCTAGGGGCCAGAGAGATAGCCCAGAGTTTTAGGATCCTGCCTTGCATGAGACAGACCCAAGTTGATTCCCCTGCACCGGATATGTGAGTACATGAGACTCAGCAGGAGTGATCCCTGAGCACAGGCCAACTAGGCCTGAACAGCAGTGGACGTGGCCCCCAAGCCATAAATAATAAGTGACACAGACATACATAAGTACATAAGACGTTTACCATACTGGTGCATCTCTTGTCTTCCCCTATTCTGTCCGGGGAGAAGGTAGACATGAAATGACCACCGCAGGAAAGGCAGGACAAAGCGGGAAAAGACACACATTCCAGGGCCTCCGAATTGCTTCGGTCAAGAGAGAAAAACTACGTGAGCCAGAGTCCGGAGATAAGCCTGGTCCCTGGATAGTGTAAAGGCTTTGGGACCTACAAGGGAAAGTGGGGGGTGGAGCGACCCCAGTCACTGCCAGTAGAACCGTATCCCGCCTGCTCCAGTCAGAGAAGATAGTGGGGGGTCTCTCATTCTCTCATGCAGGAGGCTCCCAGGAGCTGTGGAACCGAGGGAAGTTTCCACGCTGAGGCCACAAGACGGGGGAAATGACAACTGGTCCTGCCCAGCCCAGAGGGAAATGTGTCAACATTGCAATTTCAGTTTGTACTTGGACAGAGGGAAATATCTGTCTGTCTGTCTCTCTCTCTCCCCCCCCTTCTCTCTGTCTCTCCCTCCCTCTCTGTGTCTCTCTGTCTCTGTCTCTCTGTCTCTCCCTCCCTCTCTGTGTCTCTCTGTCTCTGTCTCTCTGTCTCTCCCTCCCTCTCTGTGTCTCTCTGTCTCTGTCTCTCTGTCTCTCCCTCCCTCTCTGTGTCTCTGTCTCTGTCTCTGTCTCTGTCTCTCTCTCTCTCTCTCACACACACACACACACACGTTAATATTCGCCTTCAATAAAAGAGTGTCAGCATTCCAATAGAGAGAGTGAGGAGGGTCTGGCCGAGTTGGCAGCAGCAGACAGTCCTCTAGACAGAGCCAAAGGTCACCAGTGAGGCCAGAGAGACCCCTGGCCCCACACAGTCCACAGCACTGGGCACTGGGCAGGGAGGGGAGTACCTGTGGCTGCAGGGAAGAACACGCCAAAGACAGTGAAGAAAGACTCCCCAGGGCTGTAGTGGGGCAGGGTGTTGTTCCACAGCAGCTCCGGGGAGTAGCCGACGAAGCCATGCCCTGGAAAACACAAGGAGAGCAGAGTGAGTCAGGTGGTGACCACAGACCCACCCCCCAAGCTCTGCTTCTTCACTGAGGCACGCCCCCACAGGGCTGTGCAGTTGGACGTGCGGTACATGACAACTGTCCAACAGTAGATGTCTGGACGCACTGGACCACCCATGGGTTCAGAATCAACTGCATCCGGAATCTGCGGTGTGTGGGGCCACACTCGGGGGACAGGACATATGCACGAAATCCCTGGGCTAGATTACAGTCCTGTGTTACGAACTCCAAATATTAAAGGGGGTGTGTATATGTCTGTGTGTGTGTGAGAGAGAGAGAGAGAGAGAGAGAGACAGAGACAGAGACAGAGACAGAGACAGAGACAGAAACAGAAACAGAGAGACAGACAGACAGATTTCCCTTCCCAAGTACAGATAGAAGTAGATGCAATAAAGAACAAAACTTCCCTTTGAGAAGACAGGCGTCCCGGCCCCTCCTTTTGTTTCCTTGTAGACCCACCATGCTGAAACCTTCAGTGAGCATGCATTTATAAATTTTCTTTTATTGACAAAATTGGTTGCTTCCCCGTACAAACACCTTCCCTTAGCTAGAGAGTAAAGCTGAAGCTTCTTCAGATGGTCACTGATGCTCTGCACAGCCAGGCAACCGCCCCACTTCCTCCTCCCCGGCACCCGGACGACCCTCCCAGGACCTGGAGTAGCCCTGCCCCTCCAGAGCGCCTGTCTCCAGCCTTCAGCATGACAGTGGCGCTGCCCTAGGCTCCCATCCTGCTCCCTAGCCCCCAACCCTTCTCGTCACGCCCACACAGAGGGTCCCAGCCTAGACACGTGGCGAGAAATCCAGTCTTAAGGGCCTCTAGCCAGCTCCGCGGTCCGCGCCCAAGCAGGCCTCCACTCTGGCCCCGAGGAGAATCGCTTCCTACATCTCTCTGCCACGCTCAGCTGGTTTGTTCACAGGCCACTTGGCAGCAAGAACAGCTCAGAACTGATTTCCTCAAAGCACATCAAACACTTGGTGCCTGGGCCAAACACCTGACGAAGCTTCAGGCCCTTGGCTTCTCTGTCACAGGAGGTCACTTTGAACAGCACCTAAGGGACCCAGCAGGATTCCTGGGGGCCGACAAAGCAACGTTCTCGGGCTCGGGGAACTCCCAGGCTCTGGGCCAGCTCTGGAAGCTCATCTCCGAGGGTGGGTTGGCATGCCTCTGGGGCTTTGGGTCAGGGTCTCTGGCGTGGTCTTCCACCTCCCGCCCCGCCCCACCCAGCCTGCTCCCGAGTCCAGTTCTACTGCCAGCACGTCTGTCTCACAGCTTCCAAAACTTATCACTTCAGAGGAAAAATATGCTGTGAAAAAAATAACAGAATGAAAGTCCAGTGAAGCCCAGGGACCCATGGGAGCCTGCTGGGACTGAAGCCCGTGTAATGACTTTCTTTCGCTGGAACACAGACTCTGCTGGGATATTAAGTCGCCAACAGGATGCAACATTTCGGGGTGGTTTGGTGGCAGGCAGCTGGTCCTGGTCCAGCCAGCCTCACAGCGATAGGCATTCGTGTCTCTGCGGGCCCAGCCCACTGAAGCAGGACTGAGGCAGGGGCTGCACACACCTGGGCACAGCTGGGCCACTGGGCAGGACATAAGTGCCTGCCCACAGCTCTGCCCAGGCGGGGTGCAGATCAGCTGCAAGGCCTGAGGGGCCTCTTCCTGGTCAGCCGAAAGGGTCAGAGGGACATAAGGTCCTGTGGGTGAGTCATGGGGAAGTTTCCATCCCTCCATCCCACCGAGAGGCACCTCCGGCTGGGAGTGAGTCACTGCCCCCTCACAGCAGCGCCCGCCCCAGGCTGCCGGCCCGCGCCTCCGCCTCCGCCCAAGGCCTGTCTGGGTCTTTCTCCAGAAACTATTTTTTTCTTTGAAAAGAACATTTATGGGCAAAGGTGTGGCTCCGTGCTTTGCTTCTAAGAATGCACAATGGAACACGGGAAGGCCTGGCACTGGGGGGCTGGAGTACTTTACACTCTTAGAAAGTGCTTTCATTTGGGCCGCTTGGCAGCAAGCGGGGTGGGGATCAAACTCAGGTTGGCCTTAGAATCTTAGAAAGCAATTTTGTAAAGGACGGTCAGAGAGTGGATGCTCTAGTGGGGGTGTGGTGTTGGGGTGGTGTATGCATGAAGTCATTTCACAGACAACACTGTGAACCAGGGGGGCTGCGAAAAAAAAAAAATATATATATATATATAAACATAGATACTATGTGGGGCCGGAGCGATAGCATAGCAGGTAGGGCATTTGCTTTGCACGTGGCCAACCTGGGTTCAATTCCTCTCAACGGGAGGACAGTGCTACAGTGCTACATACTGTGTGTGTGTGTGTGTGTGTGTGTGTGTGTGTGTGTGTGTTAAAACAAAAGACAATCACTGAAAACTGCCCATGTTATAGATAGGACTTGCTAAGAAACCTGTGTGTCATTTAGAGGGTACATACCAAAGGTAGGTTTCAATCCATACATGAAAGAGGGCCAGAGGGACAAAGCCAAACACTGAGTTGTACGCATATTGCAATTATGGGTGACTTCTTTCTTCTTTCCTTTTCACCAATTTTCCTCTTGTCTTTGATGAAAATAATAGACTTTCTCCAAAACAATATCTTATAGAAGCACAAAATAAAAACAGCCTATGGAGGGAAAGCCCACCTCCTCCAGCAGTTTTTCTAGAAGGAAATCTTTTGCTCGAGCGGGCCCAGTAACGTCTCCATTGGAGACTTTGTTGTTACTGTGTCTGGCATATCGAATACTCTCGGTAGCTTGCCGGGCTCTCCGAGAGGGGCGGAGGAATCGAACTCGGGTCGGCCATGTTGGCCGCTTGTAAGGCGAATGCCCTACCCGCTGTGCTATAATTTTTTTTTCCATTTTTAGTCATTGTACTTCTCAAACGATTCAAATAGTTTGTGTGAAAAGCACAAGATGAAGAAAATTTTTAAAAGACCAACAGAAGGGTGGGAGGGGGCGGGGAGGGGGCACAAAGGAGACAAGCCTGAACCAGGTAGGGCCCCTCCGGGCACAGCCCGTGGCCACACAGAGGGCCATCTGGAGCCTCCTGACCACACCTACTCAAGCAGGGGCGCCCTGGGTGCCCCCTTACAGGTGCCCTGCCCGAGGCACAGGCGGCCTCCTCTCCTCTGCCCTCCCCCGCTCCCACCCACTTGCAGAGGCCTGACCACCCCCCAGATGCCTGGTCCCAGCAGCCAGCAGCCCTGGCTCAGAGCGGGCACCCACATTGGGCACTGCTGCTCCTGCCTGGCGCGGGCTTACCGGGCCGGTGCAGGTGGAGGCCAGCCGGGCAGGCTCAGGACAAGGGGAGAGAGTGGCCGCCCACCCTCCTCTCCCAGGGGGTCCCAGTGGCTGCCCTCTGACACGAACAGAGGGTCTCCTCCCTCCCCACACATCCTGCTGGGATGCCAGGGTGAGCTCCCTCTGCCCACAGACACCATGTTCTGCTTGCCGCCGAGGGTCCCAGACCAGAGGGGCCTTGCTGGGGCACCGCGCCTTTCCCTGGCACCCACCTCTGCACCCCAGCACCACCGCACCCTGCCTGGAGAGTCTGTCCCTGACAGGGCCTAGGTGCCCCAGGACCCACACTGCGGGCCTGCAGATGGGGGAGGCATCTCTGCAGGAGCAGGGACACGACCCCAGGACACTGGAGCCTGCAGAACACAGGGTGCGGCGAGGAGCGCTTCCGGGTCCAGGTCCAGAGGAGCAGGACCCTGTCCAGACACCGGCTGAGAACTGCCTGCCTCCATCCGCCTCCTCCTGGGGCCCCAGGCCCAGCTCGCCACCCCCTCCACCTCCCGCTCATGCCCACCAACTGTGTCCTGCTCTGCCTCCACTGTGGGGGTGAGTGAGGCGCCGAGGGCCGAGGGGCCATACTCTGAGGGCCTGGATGGACGGCGCAAATTCCATCTTCTCCCTCACCCTGAGTGACCTCTCTACTGGGCAGCCTGGGAGCTGCCAGGAGGGTGGGAGTGGGAGAGGACAGTCACACAGTGAGTTTTGCGTCTGTGGACCGAAAGGGAGCTATGGGGAGCAGCAGCCAAAACGAAGCAGAGCCGAGGCTTAGAGTGGGCTTCTGTCCGGGGCCTGTAGAGGGACACAAGCTTCCATGCACCTTGTGGGTACAGGCCACAGGGTGAGCAAGAGCGGTTGCGGGGTGGCCGGCGCCCTCTGCCCAGCAGCCTGACTGAGCCTGGGGTGAGCCCGGCGGGAAGGGCTTCCGGCACTGGCTTTCTTCTCCACGGCCCCCACCCGCAGACGCCCTTTCCTGGGAACGACAATGGGAGCGGCTGGGGCCAGGAATAGACAGAGGAGGAAGTGGGGTGGGTCGCTGGGATGCAGGAAGAGCAGCTCCCCTCACAGGCAGGAGGAAAGGAGAGGCCAACTTCTGGGAAGGCACGCCCGAAGCATGGGGCAGGGCGGGGGGCGCAGGACCCCTGAAGGAGGAAGTGCAGGGGGGGTGCACTGGGAGCCAAGCATCTGCCCTACTGGGGCTGGGTGGGGGGAGACACATTGGCTTGGAATCCAGAAGGTGCACATACATACACTCACAGGCACACACACACACATGCACACACACGCACACATGACACATACACACATACACTCACAGACACACACACATGCACGCACACACACGCATGAGCACACAAACACACACGCATGCGCGCACACATGCATACACACACACACACACACACACACACACACGCCTCCACGACTCCCCGACCACTCTGGGCCCCGTGCGTGTGAGCACAGTCACAGCCTGGCAGGTGGCAGCTGCTGCTTGGGGGTCAGTGAGTGGCAGTGAGGAGTGTCCAGGCCCCAGCCTGCTCCTGAGGAAGAGGGCTGCACCCTCAAATGAACTCAGAGACCAGGATTAGGGGCCTGAGGCTGGTCTCCCTGGCGTGGCACGTGGCCCCAAACTCTGTGGAGCGGAGGGAGACCCTCC